GAAAAGGTGCCACCCATTTACATTCTTGCCCTGGGGGCCAATAGGGTCACGCAGTGAAAGTGCCCATAACAAACATGCATTCTGAGTATACTCGCAGTGCTTATTATAGTAAGTACTACAATTTCACAGATTGTGCATGCTTTTGTTATGTATGTTCTTTGGATCCACTCACTTCAGGATAGAGACAAAAAGTCTTGACAGGGATGCAGACTTCAGCCCCAGAATTGAACCCCTGGTCTTTCAAATGAAAGCCAACTAGTTTACCGCTGTATCACATAAAATAACGATATCACATTATCATGGCACCTATGTAATACAAATGGTACCGGCGCTGAAAGTTAGTTAATAATTATTTCCTGAACAGGTCAAAAATTCTGAATGGAGTTACAGTTACAGAGTCTACGGTACTGTTCAATCTGGGGAAAACCTCAAAAATACAATTTAACTTAATTGCTGATTTAAAATGGTCGAAAATTATTCTGGTAAACAATCCGAAGACTTTTTTCCATGGGGTCCTTCAGGTGGTGAAATGTGCCCATAAATATTTTCACTTGATTCTTACAAATATTTGAAAAAAGTGAGAAAATATAAATCATATTTTAATCTATTTAGTACTATATATTTCATCATAAGATAATATATAATCAACCTCTATTTTTTAAAATTTACCAAACTATTTTGTGGCAACAATCTTTTTGTCATGTTTGTCTCTATCTGATATGAGTACTAAGACTAACCGCAAGTACATACAGTACATTTCTATAATATGAATGTAGTTTTAGCAGAACATGAAGACATTATCACTTACATTGCATATACCCGACAGCTGTCACTGGATAGAACAATCGAAAGAAAAGCTATAATGCTTAGCAACACTACGTCATCCTCCACGCATCTTTCATCATATTCTATTAAGTTCACCACAGGGCCTTAGCAAAATCCTTTTAATAATATTGGGTTATTAATTACAGGATGCGTGCATGTCTTTATATTGCTTTTATACATTATGAATTTTTCAAATGTATTGAAACTATGCTAATGTTATTCGTTTATAAATGTGTGCATTCCAAACATGTGAAGAATTGAGAGAGGAATTACAGATACACTGTAGATGTGCATGTGAGAATGTAAAGAGTGTATATGTGTAGAGAAAGGGAAGATAAGTGTACATGTGTGGCAAAAGGGTAGAGAAATATACAAGGGTTGAGGAAGGGGAAGCAGTGTACATACATAGAAAAAGAGGAGAGGAATGCACATGGGTAGAGAAAAGAGAGGAGGTACATGTGTGGAGAAAGCACAGAGGGATGAGCGCCCCTTTTGCCACTCCCCGGATCTGCCACAGGGGAGTTTTCCTAGTACTTCAGGGTGAATTCCTTTTGCCACTCCCCGGATCTGCCACAGGGAAGTTTTCCTAGTACTTCAGGGTGAATTCCTTTTGCCACTTTTGCCACTCCCCGGATCTGCCACAGGGAAGTTTTCCTAGTACTTCAGGGTGAATTCCTTTTGCCACTCCCCGGATCTGCCACAGGGGAGTTTTCCTAGTACTTCAGGGTGAATTCATTTTGCCACTCCCGGGGTCTGCCACAGGGGAGTTTTTCCTAGTACTTCAGGGTGAATTCCTTTTGCCACTCCCCTGATTCTGCCACAGGGGAGTTTTCCTAGTACTTCAGGGTGAATTCAAAGTGGGGGAGGGGAGGGGGACGGAGGTATTATTTAACCCTATCTGGGAAAAGTCCTACCCTGGGCCCCCCTCTATTTTTAATTCCTAGATCTGCCAATGTACTTCATTCATGCAAATTCAAAACTACCAATTTCAATCCAAATCATTCACAACCTACGAGTTAAGGTCAATAAAGGGCATAGAAAATAAAACAAATAGGGAAGTGTTATACTTTTACATAGTGTTCATAAAGCACTCTGTAACCATGTAGTGTAAACAAATATTATCACTAACACTGAATTTCCTTTCTAGAATATTAATGTTCAAATAACTTCCTGAAGCTTCAAAAAAAAAATATAGTCTTCAATTATACTAATTATTTACTAGTTATTATTCCATGGACATGATTGATGATCAGATTTATATGACAAATCAACTGGGTACAAATTGTAAACAAACAAAATGATGGATGTAGTAGCCTATAATAAAAAGTATAGCTTTTTAAGATTGTGCAGTAAGTTTTACTATTTATTTGACCTAGGGCCTTAGATGCAGGTATAAACACCCAACAGTATACGTTGTTGATTCAAAGAAAACAAAATTAAGGAAATCATGCAACAGATATTTATTCAACAATAAAATCAGAAACAATAGTTTATAGTACTTATACCTATAGTAAGCTTAATAATAATTAAAATAATAACTTACATTGCTGTACTGTAGTTTCTCAGCAGTATGTTGTATGTAACAATCTAAAACACTGATTAGGCCTATGTAGATTAAGTTATGTAAACTAGTCCTGCCAGATTTTATGCAAATTAATTTACTTTCTTAGAAAAGCATTTGCCTTACAATAGGGTTCTATATAATACACATATGGAGACACAAACCTCATACCTATGAGATAGCCAAACATATTCATCAATGATTCTTAAATTAAATATAACATAAAATTAAGCAAGAATCTTAAATATATCAATATTTTGAAAAATCCTTTTTTCCTTGAATTTACTTGGCATGATCATTAGTTTATTGTTTTTATAACCATTATAAAACTTCACATTTTTCACACTATAGTTTGTTGACACTCTACACCCACGCAACGTCACATGACCATAGCTCAAGGGTCGCCGATTGTGTCTATTAATTATCATTTTAATATTTCAGCAGAAGGGTGTTTTTTAATCCATACATACATATCACATTGATTAATATTGCAAATTATGAAAATCTAACCTTTAGTACTAAGAGTGATTATGCCAGCTTTCCTATTTTTATTCTATTGTTGTGGGGATTTTTTTTAGTTAGTTTCTAGGATTATTATGATTGAGTCATGTTTTCGGTTTTTATTACACTACTGCTTGCTTTTATCTCAAACATGGAGTATCTTTTACAGAAGTATAATGAGAGCTATGAACATAGATTGATCATAGAATTTTAAAGGGGTTTTCCCATGTATTTAATTTAAAATTTAAGCATATAATCAGTGAGTGTAAAATGTTGGTAAAGAAAAGATTAATAATGAAAAGTAACATGTTAGCATTAATCAAGATAATGGTTCCGGAATATGAGAAATGTAAATTACAATTATTTCATTTGTGTTTAATACCATGGTATTTTTAATGGTTTTTCAAAATGTGTCAATGTAAAATATTGAAAAAGCTTTGTATGAAATACATTGTATGAAATATTTTAATTGTATTCCATATCAAGAAATATAATAACAATAATAATAATAACAACAGTTTTATTTATTTACAGGAACTCATTTCAGTCTTTTTACAAAGACTAGTCTTTCAAGATGCTATGTCCTTAAACTACTATAAGGTGCGATCGCCAAATTATCCTAGACGGCAAAAACGTGTCTAGGTCAACACCCTATCACAAACGCGTCTGAGAAATCAACCATTCTAATTACAACGCTATATGAATATTCATTTGCTACACGCTTGAATTACGGCTCGCGTCTGGACGACGTTGAATCGTTTGGAGGCTTGTTGATCATTTGAACGATTTTCTATTGTTTACTACTACTGTATACTAACAGCGCGGTGAACTAGCCCACTTGAGTGCGTAGAAATACTGGCGTTTCAAATAAATGTTATTATGCAACTCATATTCTTTCTTATATGAAGATTTGTAAATTACATGATGACAATGTGCTGAAGGTCTAGGGCGCGGTATGCGCTAAGCCAGTTCCATTGTAATTCGCTTTGTTGTTTTTCTTTCTCTCTTTTTTACATTGAACACACGAAATTAGTGTGCGCCGCTGAAACAAAAGTGTATGTTCAGTTGAATGAATAAATTAATTACAGTAATATTGCAAGTTGTCAGTAAAACCTTTACTGGGTAGGCAATGGTTTAGCCTTACATGTTTTTGTGGAATACACAAATCGAAATTCGCAGTGAAATTCGGCATAAAAAAAACCTGTTTCGCATGAAATTCACGGAAATTCAATTAATAAACGTTGTTTTATAAAATGTAAATATAATTTAGCTTAGTATAATGCAAGATTTCATCTATTTGATCATGAAAAACGTTTTTGGAGGCATGGGTCTTAGCATGTGATCCTTTCAACGGCAAGGAGAGCAGTTAATTGCTGTGCTGCATGTTACCACAGATGCACAGGATGGTGATCACACTTCTTAAAACTGATGGTGGCCTGCAACTCCCGCTGCGACTACATCAGAAATAACTAAAAACATCGGATTTTTTGTTCATCGATTTGTAAAACCACTGATATTACGACAGTCTCACCTATGCATGGTACTAGGCCTACTGAAGGACGTCCCAGTACCCAAGCAACTATTTTTTTAGCATCGACCAGGGACTTTCCCTGAGTTTACGTACTTCTGTCAGTTCTTGCACACACAGGCGGCGTACAAAGAGACGTTTGCTAGCAGGTAAACAAGTCCGTACTTGGGTATAGGGCCGCACAGTCAGTCGTATTATAATTCATTTTGGAGTCGTCTGGATGCGTTTTACGGTGCATCCAATCGGCCATAGTTAAAGGGGAAGAGCATAGGCCAAAACGGAATATCGGTGTCCAAACCATGTGCTATTCAAACAGGGTTTTCAGACGCGTTTTGGTAGAACAACAGAAAACACGTCTGGACGCTGATTTGTCGTCTGGAATAATTTGGCGATCGCGCCTAACAAACAAATGATTTACTGATTTTTTCCTGCTTTGGTCCTAAAATAGAATAATATACACAGATTTACTATATATATAAACTCCAACCTTTTGCAACCAAGTTATTTCTATAAAGCTTGTGTGTTTTTGTAAAATCTCAGGGTCTTATGTTTAATTCCTGCCAGTGTTATAGGATTTTTTCTTACCACTTGTCAGGCCTCAAACTTTGGTAGAATATATTGTCTTGTGTGAGGAATGGCCATTGATTATTATATAAGACAGTGATTAATAGTGCTATGCAATCCTTGGCCCATTTGCCTAAAGAATAAAATACGAAACGAAAATAAATAATGAAAATACATACTAGGCCAGAAAGACACCCACTGGTATTCATTGCACGCATTTGTAATGAGGATGATTGGACTTCTTATTATAACAAAAACTATTTGCCCATGTGGTAACAAGAAATTACAGACTGCATCCCCATGTATAATTTATCCAGAGAGATCATGTATAATTTTTTTAATGTGTGTGAAAAAATGTTTTCGGTAGATACAGGTCTAATGTACCACAGAAAATATGAAAGAATTTGAGAATAAACAATACAACAAGCACAAAACAGGGAACATTGTTGTGCATTTACACTGAATAACATTATAACATCATAAATTGAATAAACACATAGGCTAGATCAAATCGATTTATGATCCATCTGAGAGAGGGTAACACAACGCAATAGCTACTCCTATGAGACTCTACATTACCTGGAAATGCTGTCACGCTCATTCATCATTCAACAATTCTTAACCATTATGTAATTGATCATGTACAGTTTTTTTTTTTCATTTTAGCTATGCTATGTTATTCAACCTTGGTATGCTTTTACATAAAGACCAATCAATTTTGGTGGTCTAGTGGTCACAGTACCGGACTAGTTGTCTTGAGGTAATGGGTTTGATTCTACCTGAATCATAAATTATTTTTCACATGCATGGTAAGTATTTAAGGATGTCTTGTGTATTTAGTCCAATAACATGTCAGGTTGGGCAAAATATCATTCCTATTAAGACCAATAATATATTCAGTGGCGGCGCTACGGGGGAGGGCACTTGTCGCCCCTAAAAATTTTCTTCCCCCACCCCCAGTTTTCCCCCAAGAAAGTAGAAAAAATATGTATTTTCTATATATTTGAAAACTATCTACTGTATCTATAAAATTGATTAAATAAGCCTCTAAAGCCCCTAAATTGTCATATTTTCTGAGGCTTCACCCACTGGACCACTTTCAAGACATTTTCAATGACACCCAACCACCCTCATCTTGGGCCACCCTAGCATATTGGCCCCCATCCCCCATAAATTTCACCTTGCCCTGCCCCCAGATTTCAGACACTGGTACCACCACTCTGACCACCACTAAATGTATTTTGTATGAAAATGAATAATTATTAGGCATTGGTAGGGTTAGGGGTAGATAATACAGTTGTCAAAATATATTGCCATTTTCCAATGAAGCAAGTAAACAATAGAAATTATGTTATCTGATTACTGTACTACTATGCAGTATTCTGAGCAGCAATTCTCAAAATAATACGCGAGTAAGTCAACTTCTGAAAAGTAGTTTATCTGATTACATTCTATGCAGTACTCTGAGTGGCTGAGTGAATAATAATTGGGGGAAAGGGATTGGTTGATATGAATATTCCCTGATGCCTCATGGTAACTATTGAATTGCATAAATTGATGGATCTGATATTGTACAGTTAGTTATGGCCCATAACTTGAATCACATTTGCAAGTTAAGACTGTATGTTTGTATACCGGTATATTATTATTACAGAATTCTGAATGATTTTCACAAGAGTTCCTATGTATAAATAATGCATGGACTTGAGTATTGAGCAAGTAAAAATGTGTTGCGATGGTGTCAATTGAAGACTATGAAGAGGTTAAGTCTGAAGACTAGTCAACAGAAAAGAATACAGCAAAGCAACTTACCCATAACTACTGCGTCGTCTCCCAATGTTCCGTGGGGGAAAGCTTGCGGATCTTGCAGCCATTTTTGACAATGCAACATGTGTAGTGCATTAGAGCAAGGTAAAATCAGATAAGACGAGCAATGAGAAAATTAACACCAGTGAAAACACAGTAGCTGGAGTACCGAGTACCTGGCTACTGTACAACTTCAAGCTATCCAAGTACACAGTAAAATGCTGACTTTGTACCCAAACAAATCATATAAATAAAAGCTTGACTAAAGTCCTTTTGTTATTTTATGCATGAGAAATCAAAATCTAGAGACGAGACCTTTTGAAGATCTACAGTGCATACCTAAATACGAGAAGGTCATTGTAAACCCACACATCAAGCTTTGATAGCAAACTGAGCCTATTCTATAATAATAGACTCACATAAACAGCTGCTTAGCACTTCCTTATACTTCCTGCTATGTCCTTCCAACAAAGTCCAAACTACATATATTAACTATCGTATTCTAGACTTTCAATAGACTTTTTTAACATCAAAGTTTCAAAATGGGAGATTAATTAACTTATCATACCATTCAATATTTGAAACTGATGTTGAATAATTTATTTAGAAATTTCCTGTATCATAGGTAACTGTCAATCACAAATACCAAGGTGCTATTTATAACATTGTCTTGTAGTAGCCTGCTGTTTTGCCTAGGGATCAACTAACACAATTTCATAGAAATAATTATGTAGAAGCACTATCATTTGCATGGTATGCCTTTCTGCATTAGTATAAAAATGATATTTGTCCACTGATGCCAGTTGCATCCCAGAGGCAGGCTTTTAGCATCTAGATGTTGAGTCCGACTGTTGAAGAAACTCCTTGTTTAGCTTCTTAGCTTGTCCTGGAGATTGCTTATTTTAATCCATGGGTGACATAATATGGTTTTTCTGTGCTTGTGCAATTGAATAGCACTTGTTTTGTTCAGGAGTTATTTGGTTTTCGGCAGATATGGGCTATATATTTCACATAGTGATTACTATAGGGCGAGTCGATAGACTGAGCAGTTAAGACAGGGGAACAGTGACATTCAGCCATAATATCGGCGCTGGTTCAAACGGCAAGCTCACCTATGGACTCTAAACTGTAGGTCCAGTGTACAAATTTGGCTTGTGTGCACTTTAAAGAATCCAGTACATCCTTCGAAAAGAATAAGGGGGTTACCCCGGTGTACTGGTCCATTTCAGCCGCCTGACCGGCCACAGAAGGAGTGTTTACGTCGCGGCCAATGTCAGGTATTCTACCTGCGAACATCATACACACTAGCTATGTAGTGATTTGAGAAAAAGAAGTGATTACTACAAGAGGTTTATCATTTTGTTACGTTTATTATTAATATCATAACATCATTTTATTTATATAACAAGATACAAAGTTGTATCTTTATAAATAAAATGTTATTATATTATTAATATCATAACATCATTATTTATGTAACAAGATAACTTAGTAATAGTATTGCCCAAGCCCCGACAGACCCAAAATCTCACAATTCTAGAGTATATTTTTTAATGCAGAAAAATAAATTCATTCTTAGCCCCTCAGAAGACAAAAGAAAGCATTTTTGAGTATCTAAGATTATTGGAAACCTCTCAATATTATATACGGGTATAGATAGGCCTATATTTTATTTGGGATAATCTGAGGAAAAATATGCGTACTGAGTAGTACTATGTTTTGACTTCATTTTTGCCTATCTGAAATATATCGTCCATCATCGATTGGGTTCAGAGATTGACCAGATCTAATCAGTAAGAGATATTGTATACAATTTGTTAAACGTTATCTATGCAGAAAAACCTGTAAAACAGAAAATTAAAGTCATTCTTCATTTGTCAGAATAGAAAAGAGTACATTTCTGAGCAACCAGGACAAAAAAAAATCGCAGATGACCTCAAGACCCCGATTTCTCCCTTTCCCCGAAAACCACGACACTTATCTCATGAAATCGTTGACGTGTGAGAATGTGATGTCTTGATGCAAATTACGGTTGCATTTGTGGATTCAACAGTAAAAAAATTAAATCATCAATTGGGCATTTTGCAACCTTTCATACATTAGAGGATGCTTCAACATGCGGCTATATCTAAATCTTGCTCCGTCTAGAACATCTCAAAATCAACAATTTGAGCAATCAGTTTACAAGTATTCGGTGTTATTTTATGCATATTCGTTTTGGATTTTGATGGTTTCTCGTTTTGTAAATCTAAATGGAATTTTGATGTAATATTTTGCACAATTCAGACATAGAAAACATTATCACAAGCTAGGCCTACACTAGAAGCCATTACCTATGTATACACTCAGGTGAACCAGTCATTTGTTCTGCAGGTTGGCAGCATTCCTCGCGCACGGAACAACAGCACCTGTGTAGCATTCCAGTCATTGAGTACTGTATGAAAAAGAACAACTCAGTGGTGATAGGGCTGGGCTGTTCTAGCCGTGAATGTCTGGACTTAATTATATTATTTTTTCTTCTCTATATACCATTTGATATTTTCCATCGATTTTATGCTGTTCCTGTGTACACCTACAGAAGAGGATGTGTTTCTTCAAACTTAATTCCACTGCTTCAGAACTTAGTCATCCGTGATGACTTGAAACATAACAACCAACTTAACCTACCAAAAGTGGAATGGCAATGCCTTAAATCACTCTGTATTGCTAAATTAACTCACCGTGGATGCAGAGCATGCAAGAGTAGGAGAAGACAAAATCAAAATTGTTATTACTTTAAGGGCATACAAATTACAGCTCCCACTGATGTCTCAGTTGAGAAATACGGGTAGCTGAAGTTTTTCTCGCAAATCTGACTACAAAACCATATCCAAATTTCACGTTCCACTTTTGACCCTGAGTTGTGCTTCGCACTCCCCACTGAGGGCGGCGTTCCGGGAACCCTGCGTGAAGAGCAACTCCATATATTGTTCTAGCTGCTGTATATATACCTCAAGATTCATCCCACAGCAACTTTTACTTGACCACTTGAATGAATCATTGGATTACATAAGAACTCACCTGTCCCAAACAGGCATTATTATTTTAGGAGATCTATATCGTACAAATATCAATAATTTTTGTGCAGGTAACCTTCTAAAACAAGTAGTTAATTTCCCTACCAAGGGAGATGTTCTAGATCTCATTTTAACTGACATGCATGCTTTGTATTTACCAACTAGTCTCATAGTGCCACTTGGGTGAAGTGACGATAATGGTATAATATACAAACCTAAACGGTCCTAATCCCGCAATACCATACATAAGAAACTGATTCAAACCAATCAAAGATTCTCAGCTAAATGCATTTGGAAGATGGCTTCGAAGATGGCTTCAATCGACTCATGGTGCAGCGTCTTTGAAGCACAAGATGTTCAATCCAAAGCCGACCTATTTTATAAGATCATAGGTGTAGGTATCGATACATTCTTTACTAAAAAGATTGTCAAATTACATAATGCTGATAAATTTTGGATGAAACATAAAATAAAACAATTAATAAAGGAACGACAAAAAGCATTCTTAAATTACAACCATGTACTCTGGAAAAAACTTAGGAACAACGTTAATCATGAAATTCAGAAAGACAAAACTAGACATAATGTAAATAAAGGTACCTCCAGCAATCAGATGCTGGCAAGTGGCACCAACAAATCCGCTTTTTGGCAGGAATAAGAAGATGAGCTGACAGAAACGATTTTCCGGGGCCCTTTTCCATAAAGTTTTGTTTCCGTAGGTGCTTGGAAATATGCTCTTTTCTATCTAAAAGGCAAAGAATGACTCCAATTTTCTATAAATTGCAAATGTTTCTGCTTTGATAAAACGTAGCATGATAAAAAAAAAAATTTGTATTACAGTAATGAAATTAAAAACATTGACCTATCATATACATATATTTCTTCTGTTCATTCAGTCCTATATAAAACAATGTTTTTTTTTTTATGTGCAATTGGTTTTTTTGAATATATTTAAATTGTAATTTTAGTAAAAATAATGGTGATATTAATTGTAGTAATAATATTTTAATAATTTACTGTATAAGATTTTATATTGTATAGTTTCTACTTTTGTAATTAATCATCTCAATTCATTTTATTATGCTATGATGATTGAATGAAATAAAATATACCAGAATAAAAATATTATTTTGTTTTATATAGGACTGAATGAACAGAAGAAATATATGTATATGATAGGTCAATGTTTTTAATTTCATTACTGTAATACGAATTTTTTTTTTTTTATCATGCTACGTTTTATCAAAGCAGAAACATTTGCAATTTATAGAAAATTTGAGTCATTCTTTGCCTTTTAGATAGAAAAGAGCATATTTCCAAGCACCTACGGAAACAAAATTTTATGGAAAAGGGCCCCGGAAAATCGTTTCTGTCAGCTCATTTCCACTACTAGTGATTCCAGCTAAGTTGCAATATAAATTGAAAACTCACAAAAATGCTAGTCTACAGAGGGCAGTATAATAGAATTTCCTTTAATGAAATCAACAGTCAATCTGGAAGCATGGGGGCAGCAGATACATTTTGCCAATTTAGTTCATGCCTCAATAATAATGGCTACGATAATTACATTGAGTGTCAATCCTGTACATCTCATTAAAAAATTGGTTTGATGACTCCAGAAGTATTTATGCAAAATCACTTCTACTTTCATGATTCTAAAACACAACCCTAACAGCTTTCCTTTAATTATTAATTTAAAAAATCCTTCTAAAAATTGACCCGGATGTATACAAAGCATAGGGAATGGAAGAGTATGGTTTGATGCAAGTGGGACAGAGATAATGTCTAGGGATGGATCTTCAATAATTCTAGGCATTTATTATTCATAGACATGGTAGATCTACTTCAAACAAGGAATGTAAACCAGTCCGAATATTTCAAGAGATCAATGATAAACATTAATTACTTTTCCAGCAACTGTTGCATACATATAGTAGGCTTACAGCTCTTAGTCCCTTATCTAATCTAAATTTCAATTTTATTATTAAACATTAATTGTTGCATACATACATTGCCAACAATGCTTAGTCCTATATTTGATTCTAATTTTATTTTCATTTCATGAGAAATGCCAATAACAGAATGTATAACGCAGCGAAAACAATAAATACCTGAACTCATTCATACTGCCATCCATTAGAATACTTAACAACCAAAAGAAATATTGTACTTTGTTCTTGTGTTGCTTTGTTTTGATAATAATTTGAACTCTTTTAGTGATGTGATGTACCATCTGATTTTACATCGAAAATAGAATATGTCTAGAAATTGATCTTCATTTTCTGTCATAAAACATATACGCA